AATGCAAAAGGCGAGGCGGGTGGGATGGGAGAAAGATCTCCCGGTCAGGTTTAGCATTCTGTTGACATCTCTGCCCTTCCTTGGGAGTTCCTAGCACCAAGGATGTCTGAAGGTTGAGCCAGTAAAACGTTCGTCTTGTGGACCTCGATTCTTCAGGGTTATTTATTTTGTGGTACACTGGCAAATCTCGTACTCAATTTTGGCTTGACATAATCAGTTCTCTGCATAGTAGAGCCCATTCTTTTATGTGACTTCCATGCACTTTAGGGAATGTTTTTGGAATGAATGTCCTAATTACCTCCCCAACCTCGGTCATCAGGAAAAGGGGGCGGGCGGTCTTCCGAGACTGGAATTTTCTAGTGTTTTGAGCCACAAAGTTGTGGACCAGGCAGAGGTGAGGAGCTGCAGGGCTCGGCAGAGGGGAAGAAAAGGGTGGGCTGGGGGTGAGGGATGTCCCACTCAGACGCCTGTAGTTGGACTCACAAGCCCGAGAGTAGCAGATAGGCCCATACAGAGGCAGTGCTGAGGCTATTAAATGCGTGTGACACGGCTTGGCCTTCAGAGCCCATAGGCTTCCCCCAAGAAAAAGGTAAGCACATGTATCATGCTCCCCTGGGCTCCAAGCCAGCACCCGGGTCATTTGCAAGTGCGGGGTTGATTTCCACACCACTGGCCTCCCCTACCCCAAGCTCCAGGCCACTCAGGCCCTGCTACTCCCTTATGTTTTGATGACCCAGAACATCTCACTGCTTGTAGACAGGGCCATGCCTTGGGATGTCCAGCCTGGCCAACTTCTCAGCTGCTGCCACCACCCAGCCTGGAAATTCATGCTGCCACGAGGCCTTCTGACTTCCCAGACCGAGCCCTCCAGGCCCATCTCTGGCCACTATTCCACAGAGGTCCTTCTTCTTAGTATCTTTGCCTGTCCACCTTCCCTGCCAGACCGCCCTCCGTCGCATCTGTCTCACTTCTCTGTGCCCAGCACCAGGACCATAGTCTGACTAAGCACAGAATAGGCACTTAGTCCCTTTTTACTAGACAATTTTAAACAGATCAAATCATTTTTAGGCACTGTATATACCTAGAAAATGTAACCATTTAGATAGGACATCTTAAAGTATTTCTTTTGTTTTTTTTTTTTTTTGAGTTGGAGTCTCACTCTGTCGCCCAGACTGGAGTGCAGTGGCCACTCTGGGTCACTGCGGCCTTGACCTGCTGGGCTCTGGCAATCCTTCCGCCTCAGCCTTCTAAGTAACTGGAACTACAGGCGTGTGCTACCACGCCCGGCTAATTTTTTGATTTATTGTAGAGATGAGGTCTCGCCAAGTTGCCCAGGCGGGTCTCGAACCCGTGGGCTCAGGCAATCCACTCACCTTAGCCTCCCAAAGCGCGGGATTACAGGCTGAGCCACCGAGCTGGCCTTAAAGTATTTCTTACGCAGATTTCGCTATTGAGAAATACAATTTGCAAATGGATTATACAGTGTTTAAGGTCTATCAAGTGGCATGAAAAATACAATACATGTAGTGACCTCCCACACCCCCCATGGTTTATGCTGCAGTCTCCTGGGTCCAGACACGCTTATCTCAGGCGTGAAGAACACTTTGTCTTGCATCGCCTGTCATTGCCACCCACAGAGCCCAGGCCCCTGGAGAGGTCCCTCAGGCTGCATGAGGCCTGAGGCCACCCTGCCAGAGTCTTGCAAAGACAATTTCTGAAATGCTTGGGTTTTCTCTTCCCCCTCCCCTTGGGAAAATCCAGAGTCTCTTGTTGTTACATTGTGAGTAAGAGAGAGAATATGAAAGTCGTACGTAGAGGCCCTGCCTGCGAGACACCTGCTGGCTGTGCTTAATTCTCCTTGGCTTGAAAGGCCCTGAATCCACACCACTGTGTGGGAAGCAAACGTTTTCTTTGGCATCCAAGGCCCCGTGTGGTTAATGCACTTCTTGATGCTGCTTTAGCTTTGCAGTAAACACACCAACAAGAGGAACGGCCCAGCGCAGATATACCCTGCCCTGGTGCTCAGCACCAAGTTGTGTTATTCTAAAAAACTCCCAAGAAGATGCCAGCTCTTGGAAGGCAGTTTCCAGAATCAATTCACCTCCTGTCTCCTGCAGGCACCTGTAAGGCTAGGAAGAATAGCGTGCAAAAGTAAGGAATGGACACCAAAGTTAGCGGGAGCTGGGTTTGGATCCCAGCCTCACCCCACAATGAGTGCTGTCTACATGGGCAGGTGTTTCCACCTGCTGTGGCTGGGATTTCTTCTTGCAGGACAGGACAAAGAGGATTGTGTTGCAGGGAGGTGTGAGTTGTGTGGTGTTTTGCTCAGTGTGTGCAGGGTATTACTGTTTCTTCCACAACAATTTCCACCAGGAAAGCACTTCTTTTTTATTTTTTTTTTGAGTTGGAGTCTCTGTCGCCCAGACTGGAGTGCAGTGGCCATTCCCGGCCACCGCAGCCTCGACCTGCTGGGCTCTGGCGATCCTTCTGCCTCAGTCTTCCAAGTAGCCGGAACTACAGGCGCGCACTACCACACCCAGCTAGTTTCTGATTTATTGTAGAGACCAGGTCTCGCCAAGTTGCCTGGGCAGGTCTCGAACCCACGGGGTCAGGCAATCCACTCGCCTCAGGCAGCAACAAGGATAGCAATTCGCACAAGCAGGCTTCCCTCACTTCCGACAGGCCCTGAGGAAATGTAAATTTCATAAAGCAAGCACACCCAGTCCAGCCAAGTCTCCAGAAGGTGCAGCCTGGAAAAGTCTGCCTCTCGACACTGAAAGCCAACGCCAGCGATAAACACGGGTGCAGGCCCCGAGGCAACGGGCTGTAGCTGCTGCATTCCGTTCCAGAAGTCACAGGTGGGCCACCCACTTCGACTACACCATTCTGGGTGCCAGGTTCGGCAATTGCATTTCCTGTTTTCTGAACAACAGGCGCTGTTTGCATCAATGGCTATTAGACAGGAGTCACCCAACTGTGGCAGCTTGAAGGAAAGATGGTCAGGTAAAAGTTGATTTTCAGTAAGGTGGGCACAGAACAAAGACTTAAAGGTCCTAAAATTAGTACAGGCTAAAATCTTGGGCCCTGAACTTCCTACATTAGAAGACAGCTTTGGGGCCGGGCTCAGTGGCTCAGCCTGTCATACCAGCACTTTGGGAGGCCAAGGTGAGTGGATTGCCTGAGCCCGCGGGTTCAAGACCCACCCGGGCAACTTCGTGAGACCTCGTCTCTACAATAAATCAAAAATTAGCCGGATGTGGTAGTGCATGCTTGTAGTTCCAGTTACTTGGAAGGCTGAGGTGAAAGGATCACCGGAGCCCAGCAGGGTGAGTCTGCAGTAGCCGGGAACATGCCACTGCACTCTAGTCTGGGCGACAGAGTAAGACTCCAACTCAAAACAATTAATAAAATACAGCTTTGCCACATTCTCTGTGTGAAACGTGCCAAATTGTTTGATCACTCTGTGCTTTACCATCCTCATCTGGAAGATAAGGGTGACAAGAGGACCTAATGAATAGTTTTGCTTTTTAATGATCATATGGGAAAAATGCACATGAAGTGCTTAGAAACTCACTGGCACAGTGAATTATTTGCTAAAATACAGTCATGCTTTGCTTAATAACAGGGATATGTCAGAGAAATGTGTCATTAGGCGATTTCTTCATTGTGCAAACATCGTAGAATGTATATACTCTATACAAACCCAAATGGTATAGACTGCTACTACACACCCAGGCTATATATACCTACTGCTTGCAGGCTACACACCTGCAAAGCATGTCACTGGACTGAATACTGGAGACGGTCGCAACACAATAGTGTCTGTATATCAAAACATAGAAAAGGTACAGTAAAAAAATATGGTACCGTAATCTTATGGGACCACTGTCATACATGTGGCCCGCCATTATTCTGTGCATGACTGTAATTCTTACTCTCTGGGGATGACGTGCTTTTGATTTGCCCCGTGAGTGAGATACAGACTCCCAGAATATGAGAAAAGGCTGAGAAGCTGCCTTGCTGTGACACTCTCTCTGGAATCCCTAACCTCAGTGAGCAGTGCAGAGTTGGCCAAGCCTTGGAACAGTCAAGATATTGCAGCGCTGTCACAAAATGACAAACAGAAACTGATGACTTGGCAACACGGGAGCAATTTCAGAACCCTTCTCCCAAAAAAAGAACTCAGGGAAGAGGCACTCAGAGTGGTGAGAATTAGTGAAACTGAGGCAGAAATAAAGGAAGCAAGACCCTCAGGGTGCCCAAATGTGGAAGGAAATATAAGCGATCATTTCATTTCTTGATACTGAACCAGGAGCAGTGCAGGATGCTCACTGGAGTCAAAGAGCCAAAGGGCCAGTTTAGTCCGTTACAATCTCCCACCCAGAAGAAGACAGGGGTTATCTGCTGCTAAGAAGGACAACACCAGCCAGGCTTGGTGGCTCAGCCTGTAATTCCGTGCCTTTGGGAGGCTGAGGTGAGTGGATTGCCTGAGCCCAC